AAAAAAAGACAGGCATTGTGGTGGGTGCCTGTAGTCCCAGCTACTTGGGAGGCTGAGGCAAGAGAATCACTTAAGCCAGCGGTTTCAACCTATGGGTTGTGACCCATAAGAACTGTATTAAAGGATCACGGCATTAGGAAGGTTGGGAACCACTGGTTAAGTCCAAGAGTTGGAGGTTGCTATGAGCTGTGACGCCACAGCAGTTTACCCAGGGCGACAACTTGAGACTCTGTTTCAAAAAAAAAAAAAATTAAACTGCTTGATTATTCTTTTTTTTTTTTTAATTAAATCATAGCTGTGTACATTAATGCAATCATGGGGTACAATGTGCTGGGTTTATATACAATTTGAAATGTTTTCATCAAACCGGTTAACATAGCCTTCACGGCATTTTCTTAGTTATTGTGTTAAGACATTTATATTCTACACCTAGTAAATTTCACATGTACCCAGCTTGATTATTCTTTATAGTTTCTTTGTTTCTGCACATTTTGCACATTTTTTTGTTGAGACAGAGCCTCACTCTGTCACCCTCAGTAGTGTCATAGCTCACAGCAACCTCAAACTCTGGGGCTCTAGTGATCCTCTTGCCTCAGCATCCCAACTAGTTGGGACTACAGGTGCCTGCCACAATGCCCAGGTATTTTTATAGACGGGGGCTGGTCTGGACCTCCTGAGCTCAGGCAATCCACTGACCTCAGCTTCCCAGAGTACTAGGATTACAGGTGTAAGCCACCACACCTGGCCTCTGCACATATTTTCAATTTTATCTTTTATTACTCTAACCATATTAAACATAGGTATTTTATAATCTGTCTGATAATTTCATTACCTGAAATGTATTATTGTGGTCACTGCTGGCTTGCTCTCATGATATCTCATGACTTTGCTTAACTGCTTTTCTTTTTTTAATTTTTACCCTCCCCTCCCCCCTTAACTGCTTTTTTAAATCAAAGTGTTTCTTCTTACCCTTGGGATTGCATTTATGGGAAACTACAAGGCTTAGGAAGAAGGTGGGCACTTGCAGAGAGAAAAGGGTCAGTATCTTAGTTTCTTTAGGTTGCTTTAGCAAAATACTTTTTTTTTTTGAGACAAGGTCTTACTCTATGGCCTGGCCTAGAGAGAGCAGTGGCATCATTATAGCTTACTGCAACTTCATGGACTCAAGTGATTCTCCTGCCTCAGCCTCCCAAGAAGTGAAGACTACAGCTATGCACCATTACACCTGGCTAATTTTTCTATTTTTTTTTGAAAAAAAAAACAGAAAATTTTGTTTCCTTTTGCTCATGCTGGTCTGAAACCACTGAGCTCAATGATCTCCCACCACAACCTCCCAGAGTGCTAAGGTTACAGGTGTGAACCACCACAAAATACTCTTAGACTGGGTAATTTATAAACAATAGAAATTTACTGCTCACATTTCTGGAAGCTGGGAAGTCTAAGATCAAGATGCCAGCAGACTTAGTGTCTGGTGAGGATCTCTTCCTCATAGATGGCACCTGCCTGCTGTGTCATCACATGTCTTAAAGGGCAAACAGGCTCCCTCATGCCCTTTTATTGGGTCACTGATCTCCTTCACACGGGCAGAGCGCTCATAACCTAATCACTTCCTAAAGGCCCCAGCTCTGTTGGTTCTCAACAAGTGAATTTTTTTTTTTTTTTTTTTTGCAGTTTTTGGCCGGGGCTGGGTTTGAACCTGCCACCTCTGGCATACACGGCTGGCACCCTACTCCTTTGAGCCACAGGTGCTGCCCTCAACAAGTGAATTTTGAGGGGACATCAACCTTCAGTCTATAGCAGTGTGTACCTTGAGAATTTGTGTTTGCTTCTGGCAGGCATCTGAAGGAGTTGCACTGGGTAACATTCTATACTGAAGAGTTCTTGGCCCACTCTGACTGTGAATTTCAGCTGCAGTGAAAGCAGTTTCCAGCATCTATCCCTCACACAATCTTAATTTAGCCTCCAAATTTGAAATTGTTGGTTTTCTTTGCAGTCTAAAAAACAGAGTTAATTGGCCAGGCGCAGTGATTCATGCCTATAATCCCAGCACTCTAGGAGACTGGGGCGGGTGGACTGCCTGAGCTCAAGAGTTCGAGACCGGCCTGAGCCAGAGTGAGAACCCGTCTCTAAAAAAAATAGCTGGGCGTCGGCTCAGTGCCTGTGGCTCAAGTGGCTAAGGCACCAGCCACATACACCTGAGCTGGCGGGTTCTAATCCAGCCTGGGC